CCCTACACAGGGGCCTGCAGGGCTTTCTACCACCCACCCCAGATTCCCCATTCACCCTAATGCCTTGTCCCCTTGTTTCCCACCCCACCTTACACTGGGCTGAGCTCTCACCTCGGCAAGGTTCATGACAGCGGTCCCAGTGCCTTCAGGGTCCATGCTGCGGAAGAACCCTGCAGGGACACAAGAGCAAAGTGAGCAACACATCCCTCTGTTCCTGCCCTCCCTGCTCCAGGGCTGTCACTCACTGAACATGGCCTCCAGCTTCACGAGGCAGCAGACAAAGTTGTCAAAGTCCACACCCATGTCATCATCTGCATAGCGGGCCACCACCACTTGATGCAGCTTGTTGTTCAGCTTGAAACCTGCAAGGCAGAGAGCAGTCAGCACCCCAGGGAGGCAGGAGAGGAGGGGATAATTATGAAAGTCCACACACACACACGAAGGGTCCACCAACCCACCCAAGGAAGGGCACTGTGTCCAGCCTTAACAGGAAGAGAGGATGCTCTCCCTGCAGCCATATGACTAGTGAGTTCACTAATCTACCCCAGGCCTCTGCTTCACCAGAATGGGATTCTGTGGATCAGAGGAGGACAGAGGCTGGGACCACCTTGCATACGTCCCTAACTCTACGGCTCCAGCACTTGGCACAGCTGAGATGGAGAGTTTGATGCATACATGGGTCACAAGCCTGGTGCATACATGGACCACATCTCACTGCAACAGGTTGGCTCCAAGCACACAATATAGGCTGGTTACACTCTTCTCCAGCTACTTGGGATAGGGCTCTGACAGCAAGAGTGCCTTCCCCATCCTCCAGCCCAGCCAGCCGCATCCTCCTCCAGACCTACCGGCTGACTCTAGAGCCATGCGCATCTCGTAGGAGCTCATGGTGCCTGACTTATCCAGGTCATGCTGGCGGAAGATCGTCTGCAAAAACATCACAGAGGGCGTGAAGGGCAGGCTCTCTTGCGGCCTCCAGCCTGGCTGTCACCTCCCCTGCTGCCCCAAGAGGGGTGCTACCCCTGTGCAGTGCACCATGCCCCCTCTCCTTCTCACCAGCCAGCTCCGGATCTTGTTCCACAGGATCTGGAACTCCACCAGACCAAGGCGGGCACTGCCATCTTTCTAGGGAGCAGAGGGTCAAGGAGAAAGCAGGCAGCAAAGAGGATGGTACAAAGGCAAAGTCACCAGATCCCATCCACCCGAGGCAAGGAAAGCCTGGCCACATTTGGACTGCCCAATTTTCCCCCCAACTTCCCCTCTCTGTCCTGCAGCATCAGCAAGATCAGAGACTGCAATCCAGTGGGGAAAGGGCAATGCTTGAACTAGCTGCCATTGCACTCCCTGGGAGCAGCTGTACACCACTGTCCTGTCCTTGGAGGAAAGCTGGGCTGGCCTGCAGCAAAAAGGAACATTGTTGGGGGCCAGGTTGGAGAAGGGCTCAGAGGTACTCGTCTACCCTGACTCCTCAGATGCATGTCCTTGTGCAACAACACAGGCCATGGCTCCTGTCACTTTACACCTCTCATCGTCAAGAGCTGGATAGGATGGTTTGGGAGAAAGATGCCCAACAGTCCTCATTCACTGCTGGGAGTCTCTCGAAGGCTGGGTGGCATGACAGCACATAAGGCTGGGGAGCCTATGGGAAGGGAAGCACAGGGACCTTCTTCCCAGAGGGAAAGTAGAAGGCATGAGTGGGGCTGGGCTGAGCTCCTGGTGGCAAACCCAGAGTGCAAAGCAAGCAGGAGAACTGATGGTCCTTTTAAAAAAAACCTGCTGTGAAAGCCAAGGAGTGTAGGGCAGGTAGTCCTGAAGCCATAAGGACCCCTTCCTTTTTTCCCCATGGTTGAACAGCCTTGGCATGGCTGGAGAGCCAAGCCACAGCTCCCATGGAGAAGTCCTGCTGCTAGTTGGCCCTGGCCTGCAGCACCAAGAGGATACATCCATCAGGTTGACCATGTTGCGGCAGGAGTCCAGGCTGAACCCGTCTGTCTTCAGATCTTTGTCTGAGAAGGAAGGAAGAGGCTGAGCACGTTCATCAAAACCCTACCTGCTGAGCAGGCTTGGGCCACAGGGAGAAAGGGGTGGGAAGGGCAACGCTTACGTCTAGCGATGACTCTGTTCAGAATAGTCCGAAGCTCAAAGACACTGATTTCCATGTCCTGTAACAGGAGCAGAGTTAGCATCACCCCTTGCCTGCTCTCCACCCCACTTGTGGCCACATCCCTGCTCCTGCCTAAACATCTCTGCTTTAGTCACAGAACATCAGGGTGTCATTACATTTCCTGCATACCCAGAAGAGTTTGGGTCACAGCTGGATGCCCTTTCCCCACATCTGCCCCCATCACACCACCCCTGGGGGCAGCTGGGCTGAGCTGTGGCAGAGATGGACTTGTCTGTAGGATGGGACTGCATGAGTGTGGGATGGGCTGTAGCTCCCATAGCGAGGAGTCCCATTCTGTCCCCTCCCCGGGCCAGGGCCTCCCAGAGCTCAGTGCAGCCATACTCACCTCCCCTGCCAGCTGCTGGAACATGTTCTTGAAGCCATCCTCTATGTCATCTTCAGTTATTTCCTCCTGGGGTGATGCAGGCCAGAAAGAAGAGGTTAGTGGTCAAACCTGGGCTTGGCCCTGCCTCCCAGACTCAGCAAACCCCAACTGTAAGGGAAAGCTCTTCTTTGTTCTTCTCATCTTTGGTACTTCCCTCATCCCCACCACCCTGACCCTGCCAGCCCCTCTCCAGCCACAGTGACATCCCAAACTCAGGCAGACATCTCCTGCCTGCAGCTTCCCCTCCCAAGCCCTAGAGCCTCAGCACCAGCCGAACCAAAGTGGTGGCTCCTACCTCATCTGCCAGATCTGCTGAGATCTCTTCATCCAGCTCCCTGGGGCAGAAAGGAAGAATACAAAGTGATGAGCAGGGTCTCCAGGCAGCAGGCTGCCCACAGTGGTAAGCTCACAGACACAGGCAGGGACTCACTCTGTGTCCGACTGCTTCTCGGTGAAGACGCGCAGGACGAAGTCAGCCTCCTTGTGCGGCTCGAAGGTGGAAGGCACAACGATGTACTCTCCAGGGGGCAGCCGGATCTGGTTGCTCACCTCCCGCAGGTTGATGAAGGTCTCAGATCGTGCCATTGACTGGTTTCGCAGGAAGAAGTCCTTCTTCAAGTGCACGTTCTGGGTGCCCTGGGCCTGGGGGAAGGAATGGGCTTGTGGACCACAGCCCCACAATGGGGAGCACCCATAGGGAGTGGTGAGACCAACACCAGCCCATCAGGCAGGACATCCCTGCCCTGCCCATCCCAGTAGGAGCCATCCCTCCCTCACACATCAAGGTGCCCAGCACCCACTGGCACCCTAACCACTGCCAGTGCTGTGCGAGCTCCCATGCCGCTGGGTGCATCACCCCATTCCTGACCACTCTTGTGCTCCCCTCCAACAAGGGGTAGGCTCCAGCAGTACAGGACATACCTCCTCAGGAACCTGCAGAGAGGAGAGAAAAGGGGGAAGAAAATCAGAATCCCAGTACCTGTCCAAACTCTTACAGATGCAGGGAGCACAGGATGGGGGACATTAACCCACAGACTGGCCAAAGCAGGTGGGAAAGGTCTCCTTGAGCACTGGGGTCAGAGGGGGGACTGGCAGGGCTGAGCCAGTCCCAAGGAAGTGGCATCAGGGTGGGCAGGGCTTACCTCGTAGACAGCAAAGCCGATGGTATGCATGTCACCTCCCACCCGCCGCTCCCGACGCCGGTGCTTCTGCATCAGAGCCACCAGGAAGCTGCAGGCCACCTCATCGTCCCCAGGGTCATCATCTTCTTCTAGCAACTTGATCTTAAACTGGGGATTGATCCAGAATGTGGCTGAGAGGAAAAGGATGTGCGGATGAGACATCCGGCTCAATCATGCTGCCAAGAGTGAAGACAAGGAGGAAAGAGGTACCTGGGTGATTCCTGCAGCCCCCAGCAGTGCTGCCCCGGCGCCATGTGCCCTCAAACACCTGTGTATGCCATCTGCTGAGCTCATCCTTGGTGAGGGCATCGGGGGTCAGGTTGCAGATCTCCAGCCTGGAGAACTCCCTCATGAAGTCTCGAAAAGACATCCTGTGGGAGGCAGGTAAGGGCTGCGATCAGGGCACTGCTGGGGAGAGGGAGGAGAGCACAAGCAGCTCTGGAGCCAGACATTTAGGGAGAATTAAGTGACAGTAAAATCTTTTACCCCAAATAGTTACAGCTTATTTAAAGCCCACTGTTGAGTTTGGGACAGAAGGGATGTTTACCCTTTCTAGATGTTTATTTTGTACTTAGTTGGGCTGAATTTCCTTGAAGGGAGGAAAATTATTAACTAGATCAAATCAGAAAACACTGGCAAACTCTCCAGTGCTGGAAAGCCAGCTCATAGAGGCAGGTCACACGTTTCAGGTGAAGCATGACCACAGGATCTCTCCCCAGCAACTCTGCTCCTCCCCAGGCCGGCTGCTGAAACAGAGCAGCACTTCGTTCCGGCACTCACCAGAACTCTCCGTCCTCCATCTTCAGCTGCAGCTCTTCCCTGTCACCAGGGTCAATGTTGTCCCACTCAGAGGAGCTGGAATAGCAGGAGAGAGACAATTAGATGAGGACTACTCGAGGTGAACTGGGAGCACTTCAGAGCTGACCCTCAAATGCCCCTTTCTGATGCGAAAGGCACTGCATGCTGCAAACTTCCCCTCAGCAGTGCCATGCACTTAATTGCTGCGCATCCAGTGCTTGCTGGCCTGGCAGCAGCAGGACTGACATTCTTTCTGTCCTGCTTACCCATCACTCCAGGCTCCAGTCCACTCCACCTGACCCCAGGGGTTCCTGATGCGGATGATTTGTTCCTGCTGCCCCCGGTAGTTCACCTGCCAAGCACCAAACACAGAAGGTTGAGCCCATGCCACTGGCCAGGCTATGTTTTAGCAATTAAAAGTCTCATGTAGCTAACTCACGTTTCTAAAGGCTGTGACAGAGTAGGCATGGCCTTTCACCAGCTTCTTGAAGGTCACTGCTTCCATATCAAAGGCGCTTGTGATCTGAGGAGAACATGCAAAGCTCAAGTCAATAGCATCAAATTCACGTAGTCCCATTCCTAGCCCTTCCCTCCAGTGTGTGGAGAATTCCCCTTGCTTTGCACCACTCCAGACAAGATAAGTAGTGGGTAGCAGCAGCTTGTGCTCAAAGGCTGCTGGCTGAGGACAATTTAAAGACTGCTTCCCTGCCAGAGGACTGTGAAGATCCATCAGGGAACCACCCAAACTTCAGAAAGCAAGAAAAGGATTTAATCATAGAATCATAAAATTTCAGGGGTTGGAATGGATCTTACAGATCATCTTGTCCCAATCCCCTGCCATGGGCAGGGACCCCTCCCACCAGACCAGGCTGCTCAAGGCTTCATCCAACCTGGCTTTGAACACTGCCAGGGTTAGGGCATCCACTACCTCCCTGGGCAACCTGTTCCAGGGTCTCACCACCCTCACAGTAAAAAACCTTACCTTAATATCTAGCCTAGATTTCCCCTCCTTCAATTTGCACCCATTACCCCTTGTCCTATCACTGCATTCATTTAATGAGAGGGAGCATTTCTCAGTTCCTAGTGCTGCCTAGAGCGGGGGATGTACCACCACAATCCACTCTGCAGCTAAAGTCAACTTCTCTGGGCCTCTGCAGGGAGAAGACTAAAAACCCTGCTCCAGGTAATTTGCTGATGCAAGTGACGGCCAGATCTATAGGCAGGCCCTTGTTCCACAGCCTGCACTAGAGATGGACATTCCCACTTCATCCAAAAATCATTCACCGTTAACTGGGCTGCAGCCCCACGTGCTGTGCCCCAGGGCTGCCACACTGGCTCTGGAAAGGGTGCTCTGCTAAGACGGGAAAGAAGCAACCTCCCACACAGCGTCCCAGCAAGGGGACTGCTGATACAATCTGGGGCTGTGACGCCTCACTTTGGCCACTGCTGTGGCAGAGCCGTAGCTCATCCCAGCACACTACTTACGTCGATGGAGCAACCCAGCAGGGAACCCCTCTCCAGCGCCTTGCGGATGATATGGGCCATGTTGCGCGGTGGTCGCTTCAGGTCGTACATTTCTGCCACACCACCGGTGAAGTCCTCAAATCCCTCGGTGGTGCTGCCCCCCGAGAGCGACTCATAGCAGCCATTCAGCCTGGGCGCCGGGCGGTGAGAAGGGCACGTGAGGGGACAAGAAGGTAGCACACCAAGCACCCAGCACAAGCAGGACCAGCAATAGAAGAGACTCCCTTTCCTCTACCCACCCACATGCCCATCATGGGGGTACTCACTTGGCATAGGCCTTCTCCAGCAGAGCACTCCAGAACTCGGTGCACTCTGCTGAGTGGACAAACAGGAGCTCCCCATCCTTGGTGGGCAGCAGGTCGTCCACCACAACGTCCACCCACTCACCAAACTGCCAGATCTGGGGAGTGAGGAGACAGTGGGGTGAGCTTGGAGCGTCCCATGCCTTGCATATCCCTATCCCAGAGGGATGCCCTCAACCCACTGCCCTCCCTTCCATCCCAGCCCACCAGCCGTGGAGGGTCAGGAGCTCCCTGCCCACCTGGAAGTGGAAGATGCCTGCATAGTCCTCCTGGAAGCTCTGTCCGTGGGGCACCACGCGGTGCAGGAGCTCCTCGTTGAGTGTGAGGGAGCCAATGGCAGCCAGCAGCCAGCAGTCACCTGGGGAAGGAGAGGACGCTGGTGTGAGCACCCATCACCTCCCTAGCTGGGAGGGCAGGATGTTTAGGAGCTCATGATGTGCTCTCCTTGCAAATGTTTGGGGCTCCCGAGATAAAAATGTACGTGAAAAAACCAGAGAGGGTCCAGCAAACAGAGCTCAGGGAACCAGGCTTGCTCAGTCTGCCCTTGGAGAGAAGTATTAGCTCAACAGAACATCCTGCCTCACCTGAAGCCTGTGTGCAGACCACCACACACAGTCAGCACCAAGAGCTCCCTCCTGCAGCCATTTATCTTGACCCCTCTGGAACTCATTCCTATGACTGCGCTCCCTATCTCAGACAGCAAATTCTGCAGGGGAATTACGCTTTACATTAAAAAAGCCATTTTATTAAGCACGAGGTTTCATGCTGCTCTCCCAGCTTCTCAAATTGCAAGCAACACCACTGCACTTTTCCTTCCACGCGCTCTTAACCACAAGTGCTGCTCCAGGCTAGCACTGCATTTGATTCCACTTTCTCTTTTGCCTTTGAAGCCTTTCACACCTTAGCCTTGAGCTTGGATAACCTGTAACTGGGCTGTGGTTTGACAAAACAGCATTGACCAACTGAACACCACTGCAGTGCTCTGGGCTGTTACACGCTCCAGTTGCCACCTCAGGTTTGTCCTAATTACTGTATGCATTAAATGTGGTCAGCCCTGAAACCAGCTTGCTATGTGTGCTAAGGTATACAATGCTCCCAATCAAGTGTCCTACTTGATTCTGATCAGGACAACACTCATGGTGCTACCAAGGTCTGTTTCCAATGACAACGAATCCCGGTTGCTACCTCTGCCAGCCTACCCAACCATACAAAATCACAGAGTCAACTGGCTTGGACAAGACCTCTGGGATCAAGTCCAACCTATGACCAAAGACCACTATGTCAACTAGACCATGGCACTAAGTGCCATGTCCAGTCTTTCCTTAAATGTCTGCAGGGATGGTGACTCCACCACCTTCCTGGGCAGTCCATTCCAATGTCCAATCACCCTTTCTGTGACAAAATTCCTGCTAATGTCCAACCTAAACCTCCCCTGGCATAGCTTAATACTATGTCCTCTCGTCTGGTCACTAGTTACCTGGGAGAAGAGGCCAACCCCCGAAAGCATTAACACTACTTGTCTCAGTGCCTTTGCCTTGGGAGACATGCCGGGAGAAATGGCAAATCACCACTTGAACTCGGTAGCTCTCCTCTAAGTTCCCTTTTGCCACATCACACTGCTTTGCAAGCATTCTGTCACAACCAGCACATCCTCAGTTTGTTACTGTCATCCAGCTGCCATCCCTCACGACTGCTCTTTGGAGCAACTCCTGACACTGTTGTCAGCATGTCAGGCATGGATCCACCCAACAACTCCCCTCATCTCAGTGTGTGCATGCATTAACCCACTTTCATGAAGCCTTAACCTAGAGGCACCAGGAGGCACAGGATGACCCCTACCTTTCAAATGGAAAAGGGCAGCCACCCAACCCTCTCCAGTCACTGCTCTCCAGACCAAGGTCCAAGGACAGAGCTCCAGCACTCACCCAGAGCCCCTTGGCAGATGTCCGTCCGGGTTGCACCGCCAACGATGAACTGAGGGTCATCCACTAATTCCTGCAGAAGGACAGAATCAGATGATGGTGCTGGATCTTGGCAGGGCTTGGGCTTCAGTGGGGCTGGCACCTACTGCAGCTCTGACTCGAGAGAAATGGTATATGGTCCCTGTGAGATGCACCCCACCTGCCCCCTGCTAGGGAAGGCTGTTTAACTGCAACCCCAAGGCCACCATGGTAAGGCAAAGAAAGATCTTCTGCTGTAGTCATGGGAGAACAAGGTTGGATAGACTAATGACACTCCCCTTGCACTGGTGGCACCTGGGGATACATGCACTCAAAAGCTCCAGTCACTGAGGGTGACACATGCATGCCATGACACCTAGGAACAATGACACAGCCCACCTATTTTGAAGCCCACAGCCTGCCCCCCAGAGGAAGCAGGGCCTGCCAGACACAATGAATGCTTTTCCGAGCAGACACTCATGGAGCATTGGTCCAGGCCTTTGGGAAAGGAGGCTCTGCAGCAATCCAGGCACTTTGAGCGCTGAGGGGAGCTGGCCAGGGTCAGGCTGCAGCTCAGCACACCACGTCAGTGCAGAGATACAGGGCAGGGATCCCAGCCAGGCCTGAGAAGAAGCAAGCCCAGCACTTACCGACGGACGCTTCCACACCACCCCACGTGTCTTGCTGGAGTGCGGCCCCAGCTCCTTGAATCCGAGGGCGGAGGGACCAGCCGGGAACTGGGTTTTTTGAGGAGCCTGCCACTCTCAATGCACTCCTGCTTGAGGGCCTCGTAGTCCTGGTTGAGGTACTTGATGGCGTTGTTGTGCTGGCCGACCCCCTCGGCTCTCAGGCGGTCTCTCTGCAGACGGGCAGCCATCCCTCCAAATGGCATCATAGCCAGGCACTGGCCACCTTACCTTCAGCTCCGCTCCCTGCAACAGAACGGGCACGGCCAGGTTGAGGCAGGGCTTGGTACCTTCCCCTGGGGATGTCAGACATCTCCCAGAGCCAGGCTTGGAGGCTGGATCCCCAATTCTCCACCAGCCCCACAGCAGGGACCTTCTCCATCAGCACTGCCCTGGGGCAGCGAGCCCACCGGCACACAGAGCACCCCAGGAT